GGGAAAATACCCGAACAAAGCTGAATACCATACATGTAAGTACCCGCGAAAACTTAAGAAAACATATATATAGAAAGTATCTAGCCCTACCTGGGATTTTGGACAGTCCTGAACCCAACAGAAGTAACCCATCGGGAGAAGTTTCACCCTTGACTTCCATGACAGAGTAGATCTTCTGGGTTCTTCCTTCCATAAGCACCATCACCAGGTCCTTCACCTCTACGGAAGGAGGACCTTGGAGCTCCACAAACTCCGCGTCTCCGGGTGAGGATGCCAACTTAACCTCATTGATGAGCACCACAGAGGCATTCAACTGCGAGAAAGGGATGCAGTGGTTATCGGAGCCTGGGGTTGGTGCGCCCACTTGGAAGAACCTCTGAGAATCCATCCCTTGGCACCTCTCTAGAGATTCGTCATCGGTGGTCCGGAAGGAAGGGTCCTCCAAGAAAGCTTCTGTGCCAGGGGTCAGAACTCGAGTTAACTCATCTGCTTTGTCCCTTTTATTAGATTTATGAACCAAAGCGTCCTCCAGGCCTTCGTTGTCTACAGGCATGCCTACGTACAAGTCCGACCTCCCAAAATAGACAGCAATGGCATCCGGTCCATTCTGGATTGTGGCCTTCGAGAGGATTATAGCTGGCCTTGGGACGAGGTTGCCAGACCCAATCAGGAGAAAACCTTGGTCATCTGTGGAAAAACCATCAAGATCCAAGACTTTGTAGGCCATGTTTCCCTTCCCGTTGTAGAGGACTAAATGATACCCCTTCAAAGCAACTCTTCGTCCGCTAACATGATAGAGTTCTAAATACTCCATGGTATCATCTCCTGGATTATCTGCATTGACCTCATTAATCAGGAGGGTCGGCTTCCTCTTTTGGCCCTGGATGAGGTTCTGTGAATTCCCTTCACGGAACCAGAAGCACAGAAGGATCACAGATGCACAGATCAAGCCAGATCCCATGACGGCAGAGACAAGCTGTTGTCCAGGAGCCTAAACAATCTGGTCCACTTTCCAAACAGGTCTGCACAAAACAGAAGAGAAAATAGCTGGGGGGAAACAGCAAATAGGATGCAAAGGAATAATAGATATTCCACCGTCACAACGAACGATGATGAACGCACAAAGACGCCTCAAATCCAAACAAGAATGACAAGGAAGTCCCCTGCTCGTCTACAGTTATAATCTCCATTTTATAACTTTATCCTTTCCATTAATAGAACAACAACAGAAATTAAAAAGCCGTACTTTCCTTGTAAATCATTGCCAACCTGGCCATAATCAGGATGATCCAAAGCAATAGCAAATACCCTTATCTTGGAAAGGACACGTAGCTTGGAAACGGCAACGAATAGTGCATACCAATAAAGTATACGGTAATACACATTTTTTTTCCCTTTTCAACCTCCTTCTTATTCCTCCTTCCAAAGAGAGAATTGCCAATCCGTGGCCAGAGGAGAGTGAATAAAATTAGTTGAGAGAGGATTTGCTTAGGGGGGAAATATTTCTTTAAAATTGCACGTCTGAGAAAATGCGGCCACTAGGATTAGGTTAACCAGGGGTGGGCTTCTGGGGGTTCGTAGGGGTTCGGGAGAGCCCCTAGCTAAGATTCTGTGCAAATCCCACTCCTGGCTGGCCCCGCCCACTCCACCCCGCCCCTCCCAGGAGTCCCCATGTGGCCCGTTTTGGATGCAGGTAAGTGCAGGGCCTGCATGGAGGTTCAGGGAGGATGAAAAATGGGCCTCCCGGAAGTTCAGGAAGGCCAGAAATGGGCCTGTTTCTGGCTTCCAGAAAGCCTCTGGAGCCCGGGGAGGCTATTTTTGCCCTTCCGGAGGCTCAAGGAAACCCCCCAGAGCTCAGGGAGGGCAAAAATGCCCCCTCCCCACCGTGGTGCAGGAGGTTGACTAGGCCATGTCCACCATGGCTGTTAGGAATCTGGCCACCAATTAGTTGGGTTGGCAATAGATAAACCAACAATATATGTTTGTAGCTTTAAGACAAAATCACTGTATTGATTTATACTACGTATATTCCGATTGGTTGATTATGTTGCAAATTACCATAAGAGGGAGCTAGAGATCTTAGCTTGCTCTCTCTGACATTCTCTGACATTCTGTTGCTATCTAAGGTTCTCTGTTGCATTTATGCTGTGCTTATACTTTGATATCTTTGTTTTACTGTAAATGACAAAGGCAACCGGTAAGAAGACTTTGTAATTGGATATTCTTTGGACTGTTAAACGTATATGACCTGGACCATTTATTGGACTGTGCTATTTCTTAAAGTAAACTTTAACTCGATTTAGTGTATCTGTGTATGGCTGGATAATTATTCATAACTATTCTCATAAACGTTTCCATGTGCATATCCTTGTTACTCAAGGGTTATTCTGTACATATCATAGCAATGGCCATGCCCACCCAGTAACCGGGCAGAGAACCAGTCGCTAAAATTTTTGAAGCCCACCCCTGAGGTTAACCATGGTTTATTCGATCCCTTTTGCTTGGATTCTCATACAGGTAGTCCTCGACTTACAACCCCAAAATGAGCCCAAAATTCCTGTCGGTAAGCGAGACAGTTGTGAAGTTTGTCCCATTTTAAGACCTTTCCTCCCACCATCGTTAAGTGAATCATTGCAGTTGTTAAGTCAGTAAAATGGTTGTTTAAGTGAATTAGTTTTCCCCATGGGCTTTGCTTGTCAGAAGGTCACAAAAGGGGACCACGTGACCCTGGGACGCTGCAACCGTCATAACTAGGAGTCAGTTGCCAATCAGCTGAATTTCGATCACATGACCACGGGGATCCTGCCACGGTCATAAGTGTGAAAAACGATCATTTTCAGTGCCACTGAAACTTCGAACGTTCACTAAATGAATGGTTGTAAGTCAAGGATGACCTGAATAGATGTCACTTGAAAAATATTATTATTCCATTCAAACATACCACTAAATTTAACCGAGTCCTGTCCTTATAGCTGATTTGTACTGTATCATTAATCTTATACTTTACAGGGACTATTTGTTAGGTTATCTTAAGATTATATAATGAGTCAATATTGGTATAACCCTGAAACATTAATACATGAAATTTTACGGCCTCACGTTATCTGTTATTTCCATTCACTTAATAAAGCACAATAAACCCACTGAGCTTTAGCTGGCCAAACAGACTTCCCCTTCCACATTAGGTCCAAATATTTACTTAACCGTGGTTGGTAATAAAGCCGTAATCGGCGAGACCACATCTGCTAAGCCACACACTGTCACTGTCCCAAACCTAATTCCACAAAGACAAATAAACATTTTTACAGTGAGGTATGGGATAAAAATAACTGATTTTGTTGTCGTTTATGCTTAGGAAATGAATGGGTTGCACATCAGAAAAACGTAGGTGGGTTTCCAGCTCCTTTTTTTAAAAATCCACTGTAAAAACTGTGGTTTACACACAAAGACACCAAGACCACAGCCTGGATAAGCTCATATCCTGTTATTGGTGAAAATAACTTTTTGATTAACAACATGTTGATGCGCAAATAGGTCAGAGAGGAAAAACGCTTTACAAAATGCAATTCTAGCAGCTCTGTCGCATTAAAACCCGTTGCTGTTAACACCTCCCACTAAAGTTTTCAGAAATCGTAACCACTACACCCCTCTTTCCCCCACTAAGTTGCACACTTCAGCTTCCTGGAATGAATCCCTGGGCGTGATATTCTTAACAGCTTCGATTTATGTTTCCTTTGGGTGTTTTCAAAATGGAAAGCATTCTGAGCTATTAAGGAGGAAGCTTGCATTTCTAGTTTTATTCTGTCTTGTATAACCCTTGTTTTCTCCAAAGTTTGACCTGTCAAAACCACGGGAACAGTACAGTGTTTACCTACCTGTCACGTTAATTGGAAGGTTGGGAAGACCACAATATTAAAAACAAAAGCAGATCTTCCGCGGCACCAGAAAAATGCTTCCACAGCCAATGTAGGTATTCATCTCCTGGAACAGCAAAGAACAGAAAATAAAGAAGCACTACTAGGCTGGGCAGAGATTACATTGCATTAATATAGAAGAGTGATTATCACATTGGTTAAAGTGTCAGCCAAGACTGATATGGTTCACATCTGCATTTGGTTACCAACCTACCACCATTACAGTCTGCACCAGGGATCTTAACAAATCTTGAGTGGAGTGGAAGTGGAGTGGAGTGGAGTGGAGTGGAGTGGAGTAGAGTAGAGTAGAATAGAATAGAATAGAATAGAATAGAATAGAATAGAACAGAACAGAATAGAATAGGAAATAATATAATAAAATGGGAAAGAATGGAATGGAATGGAATAGAATAGAATAGAATAGAATAGAATAGAATAGAATAGAATAGAATAGAATAGAATAGAATAGAATAGAATGGGAAAGAATGGAATGGAATGGAATGGAATGGAATGGAATAGAATAGAATAGAATGGAATGGAATGGAATGGAATGGAATAGAATAGAATAGAATAGAATGGAATGGAATGGAATGGAATAGAATAGAATAGAATAGAATGGGAAAGAATGGAATGGAATGGAATGGAATGGAATGGAATGGAATAGAATAGAATAGAATAGAATGGAATGGAATGGAATGGAATGGAATGGAATAGAATAGAATAGAATAGAATAGAACAGAACAGAACAGAATAGAATTCTTTATTGGCCAAGTGTGATTGGACACACAAGGAATTTATCTCCAGTGCCTAAACTCTCAAGGTACATACAAACAACAAAGTGATAGGTCATAGATAATAATTACTGTCATTAATCATAAGACACAAAAACCAGTGATAAATTCTAGATTCTTCTCAGCAGAAGGTAGTAGGAAAGATCAGAAGATGAGAAAGATGAGAAGGATAATAGCAATGTCGCCTACTACGTGGGTAAATATATTTAGGTCTAAGACAGCGCTGTAGGAATTAGGTGTTCAGTAGAGTGATCCCATGGGCTGGTGGGATGGGGAAGTATCTCTGTTTCTAATCTGCACTTGGTTACCAACCTATAGCCTGCATCTTAAAAAAATCTTACAAGAACAGAACAGGGTAGAATACCAATCTACCACATCTTGCATTGCTGATCTTAACGGGTCTTGTAAGATAGGATAGGATAGGATAGGATAGGATAGGATAGGGGAGGGGAAAGGAGAGGATAGAAATTAGGACAGGACAGAACAGAATAGAATAAAGTTACAAATCTACCACAGTCTGCACCGCGGATCTTAACAATCTTACAAGAACAGAACGGAACAGAGTAGAATACCAATCTACCACATCTTGCATTGCTGATCTTAACAGGTCTTGTAAGATAAGATAGGATAGAAATTAGGATAGGACAGAACAGAATAGAATAAAGTTACCAATCTCCCACCGTGTCTGCACCGTGGATCTTAACAAATCTTGCCAGACTGTTATACCGATGCTCTAGATATCATTGTGAGAGAAAGAAAAAGAAAAACTTCAACACACAAATAGGATTGGTAACACGTCAGTTGGCACACACCGCATTTGTGGGAAGCCACCATTGTCTTCAAAGACCTCTGAGTCAAGGGCTCTGCCAATCAACACAGCCGCTGTGTTTTATTAACTCCGGGCGAGGGTGAAGGTTGACAACAGCGAAACTATTGCAAAATGGTTTACGATCGGGAAATTCCCTTGAAAGTGAAATCACGGTGTTTTTTTTAAATAGCTGGGTTGAAGCCACAGCAAAGCAAAGCAAAGCTGCCTTAGGCTAATGTTTAAATATAGTCACTCTCCCCAATTCTAAGGTTCTGGGAGAAAGTGACGGGGCTTTTTCTTTATGATTTGATTTGATTGCTATCCTGTTTTTATTAGTTTTTATAAATATGAAGATATCTCATATTCCTTCTTCCTCCTATTTTCTCCACAGCAACAACCCTGTGAGGTGAGTTAGGATGAGAGAGAATTATTGACACCCAGCTGGCTTTCATTGCTACGTCAGAACTAGAATTCACCATCTCCTGGTGATTGGCCTAAAGTTACCCAGCCGGCTTTCATGGCTAAGGTGGGACTAGAACTCCCTGTTTCTTGGTGATTGGCCCAAAAGTCACCCAGCTGGCTTTCATGTCTTAAGGCGGAACTAGAACTCACAGTCTCCTGGCAATTGGCCCAAAGTTACCCAGCTGGTTTTCCTGACTAAGGTGGGACTAGAACTCACTGTTTCCTGGTGATTGGTCCAAAGCCACTCACTTGGCTTTCATGCCTAAGGCAGGACTAGAACTCACCATCTCCTGGTTTCTAGCCTGGTGCCTTAACTGCTAGAGTATAGACCACATTGGCTTTCTTTGTACAGAGCACAATAAATAAATACATAAATAAATAAAAATAAAAAATAAATAAAAATAATTAAGTAACCTCAACAACAACAACAACAACATCTAAAGGACACCTTTTCTTTAGTTCTTACACAAGAGAAAAACAACTGGGCTATTTCCACCCATCCTTGCCCAGCTATGAAACAGGAGGTTTTGTTTGCACCACCGCAAGCCATGGTTTGCTTAACTATGGTTTAAATAAGCTGCAGTGGACTGGTTTTGCCCAGCACCCCAGCCGACAACCAGGGCTGGCCTTTCAGAAGCCAAAGCCCCAGCCGAGCTGGTTAACTCAACGGCATCAGCCGCCCGGCGGGTGAAAAGAAGAAACGGGCATTTCAATCTTTTCCATTTTCTCCCCGGTTCCTGCAGCTCGGCTGAGCCCAGCCCAGCGGCGAGATCGCCCCGCTGAGCCAAGACGAGCAAGACTTGCGAGAGCAGAGGAGGGTCACAGGAAGCTCTTTGGAAAGAGGAAACGTGGCAAGGGGAAAAAAAAGAAAGAAGGAAGAGAGAAAGCCCTTTCATTTCCTTCCCTTCCCTTCATCTCTTCTTCCTTTCCTTTTCCTTTTCCTTCCCTTCCCTTCATCTCTTCTTCCTTTCCTTTTCCTTCCCTTCCCTTCATCTCTTCTTCCTTTCTTTTCCCTTTTCCTTCCCTTCCCTTCACCTCTTCTTCCTTTCCTTTTCCTTCCCTTCCCTTCATCTCTTCTTCCTTTGCTTTTCTTTCCCTTCCCTTCCCTACATCTCTTCTTCCTTTCCTTTTCCTTCCCTCTCCTCTCCTCTCCTTCCTTCCTTCCTTCCTTCCTTCCTTCCTTCCTTCCTTCCTTCCTTCCTTCCTTCCTTCCTTCCTATCAACCTATTATGTCTGTCTGTCTGTCTATCCAGCTATTATCTATCTATCTATCTATCTATCATCTATCTATCTATCTATCTATCTATCTATCTATCTATCTATCTATCTATCTATCATCTATCTATCTATCTATCTATCTATCTATCTATCTATCTATCTATCTATCTATCTATCTATCTATCTATCTATCTATCCATCCATCCATCTATCTATCCATCTATCCATCCATCCATCCATCCAGCATATTCTATCCCTTTCCCCTTCCCTTCTTACCTTTCTTTTCTTGTTTGAAAGTGGGGGAGGAGAAAAGCGCGCAACCAATGAAAGATGAACCATCTGCAACCCTTCCCCCGGGGCAAGGAAGGGTGGCCAGGCGTCGCAAGGCGCATCTCGCTCAGGTTTCCAATGCGCGCCCTGCCCAACCTCCGCTCCGCCTCCGGCCAGCTCACCCCACTCGCGGCTGCCAGGTCCACGCCGAAGAGCTTCCACGCCAAGCGGGGGCCGAGAAAAACTCAGGGTTGCCTGGCTGCCTACTCGCAGCCCGCCCTCGCGGCTGTGGGGGTCTCCCGCTGCAAACGCCGAGAGCCTTAGAAACGCTATTGGGTTGAGGAGGGGGGTGGAGGAGGCGCCTGGATTCCCCCCCTCCTTCCTTCTTTTCAAAATCTGGGACTGGGAGGGTTTAATTGGGACTTTCCCTTAAGGGTTAAATCACAGGGTTTCTTTTCTTTCTTTCTTTCTTTCTTTCTTTCTTTCTTTCTTTCTCTCTCTCCTTCTCCCTCTCCCTCCCCCATTTCCTTCCTTTCTCTCTCTCCCTCCCTTCTTTCTTTCTTTCTTTCTTTCTTTCTTTCTTTCTT